GGGGGGGGGGGGGGGGGTTGTTGCATGAAGTAACACAGCTGATAACCTCCTGAATTTGCTTCACAAAACCAAACAGAACCTGACTAGAAGAAGCATAAAGACCAGCCTCCCAAGCTCCTGCCCCATCCCTCACATGGAAAACATCTCCAGTATTTTCCATTGTTAACACATAAGTACTGTCAAAAAAAAAACCAAAACCTGAGTACATTTATTTGTATGCTCTTACCACTTAAGATCATTTTAATATACCATTCGTCAACCTTAATGTATGACTTTTCTTATGCTTTTAAATGGTCTTGAAAACTTACCCATATAGGGTTTTGTGCCAGCCATAGAAGATGCTTTTTCTGAGCCTTTCACTATGGTTGCTATGTTAAAGTCAGTGATATGAACATGTCCTGCAATTACACAAAGTAAAAGCAGAAGTTAAGACAGTACATCATAAAAGTTTTCCTTCCTTCATTTAACATTTAAGTGACAGTGGAAAGAGATTAAATTGGAAAGACTCATAACAGTTCAAGGAAACTTCCTATTAAAACCTTCTCATAATTAGAAAAATCATATTGGCAGCAAAGTGATGGAACACTTTTCTTGCACAGTTGCATCCACCACCTGCTCACAGTGCTGAGCCTTTTTTTGCTAGGCACCCCTGAATCTTCTCCTGCCATGAGCATTAAAAACAATAACTGTCTTCTCAGAGCAGCAGCATGCAAGGAAATGAAATCTCCTTATCCCCAGCTAGAGTCACCCCCTCACAATCTCAGGTATTTGTGACATCTGTCTGCTATCACATCCACATCATGTTACCACCAGCCTGGCTTTTTCTGAGTCTCCTCAGGGCAAAAAAGGAGCAGAGAAGGAAAAGGGTATTTTTATCATACAATAACTATAAAATTAGATCTATGGTAGCAGGAGAGCATGTATGTTAACAGCAGCAGGTCCCAAATGATCACTCATTCGGCAGCAGGTTGCAAGATGAAAGATAAGTGACACAAGTCAGCCTCAGGACTTTCTGCCTGACCAGCCAGACAGCTGATTTAAACTGAACTAATCATGCTGGATGGCCCAAACCTGCTGTCATTACTTTTTTCCTGGGGTAGTTTATGACGAGCGTAGGTTAAACTGAAGCAATAGTTGTTCATCGTGGCTTGCCATAGGCAGGTAAACTGAACATAAATCCAGCCCGAAAACTGCAGGCTTTTAATTTGGTAAGTCTGCTGTTGTGTTTTGTATCTCCACTTAAGGACTGGTTTTATGTAGCAAAGTGATTGCAGATATTACACTCTCTGTGATTACATCTGGCAATGCCATTGTGGAGGACAGAGTACAGGGAAAAGTGTTCCCTTCTCACTAGCCCTGCACTCGGATCAGGATTAATTCATCATGTGTTGAACCAGAGTCTTGAGTGACAAGCTCTTGTGATTTTTTTTGTGATCAAGATCTCAACCTCATTCAGTCCACAGAATGGAGCAGACTTTGGGCATGATGCAGTTATTAAGCCAGGGAGGTTGTTATCATGCTTGCTGCCAAAGGTGAAAAAGAGTGTAACAAATGACTGATGCTGAACGTTACCGTGGTGCCTGACAGAGGAACAGCAGTCTCAGCAAAAGATTATGCTGCTCTGACAATCTAACCTAGATCATGCTCAAAGTCTACAGGAGATATATCTGCCAACCTCTAACAAGTCTGCAGCTATGCATATGTGAATCAAAATTCTCAGAGGCCCCTAATTTGTCCGGATCTGAGCTGGTTTTGAGGGGAAAAAGGAAGAAGGCACGTCCCGCTGTTAAACTTCAAGCCATTTCTCCAAATGGGAGGCACAGTAGAAGTTTTTGATGACATGGTTTGCATGCGTTCTGCACTTCTCTCAAAAAAACTGCTTACATTTTATTGTCAATTTCTTCCTAAGACACGCACACAGGAAGACATCTGCCCACAGCAGACAAAAACTGTGCAAAGAGGAGAGTGATCACTTTATAAGGAGAGGGAAGTGTTAGGCTGCCATGACAAGAATCACTATTCACAGCCCAGCCTGCTGTTGGATTTCAGGGTGGCATTCCTCCTTCCTGGTGGCTGGAGTGTAGCATGTTTGCAGTTTATTTCTGCAGTAATAAAACACCATGGCAGAAGAATTCTTGAAAATGATAATTGAACCACATACAGCCACCTCATGACAGTGGTTTTAAGCAATTCTGTGTACACTGTGGAACAAAAAGCTGCAAGGATCTCAGCAGACTAATACTTTCTTCTTTCTTGACAGATAACTATGTTTTCTAGAGATAAATATAAAGTCCTGTCATTTAAATGACAGCATTGTAAGCGATGCTCCCTATTAGAATGCCAGCACCATAGCCTGTTGCAAAACATCTATTGCATAATATCCATTCAGACTGATCCAAATAGTTGATTTGCAATGAGAATTGCCTCTCCTGCAGTGCATTGTTTTCTTTCCCTGTTATTTTGTTTCTTTTCATTTAACAAAACCAAAATAGCATACGTGAAATGTTGTATACACTGATTGATGTTTTTTGTTAAAAATGCCTTTCTGCAAGGTAAGGAATGGATTGGGTTCTGCATAACTTCTCTGCATCCAGCTGCTGATGTGCCACACTGTACATGTAGCAGGGCAGAACAGAGCTGTGTCTGTACCACTGGAAAAACTCCACCTTTGTTCTTCCCCACCACAGGGCCACCCACAGCCCATGGTCTGCCTGCAGACAGCCTTTTCCCATTGCTCTAATCAGCTATGGAGGGAAAGTAAGGTGTCCTCAAGGCACGCAGATGGCTGTGCTGCCTCAGGGGCTGTGCACAGCACTTGGTGGGAGCTGTGGGCTTGGATAGAGGCTGTGTCTGGGATCGAGTCAAAGCAGGGGTTCACCCCCTGCACCCGGTGGCAGTGGCAGAGGGCTGGAGGGATGTCCAGGTAGAGACTATGCACACCACTGAATGGTTGCAATTCTTTTAAGCCTAGTGACTTGTTTTGTTTGTTTGGGTTCTTTTAAATTTTTCATTTCTGGTGTGAATATTCCAATGAGAATTAGACCCCAATTCTCTGTAAGAGCCCTTCTGAAAATCAGCCTCTAAGACATCTTTTACTACAATTGTTGCATATAGGAAAATAAAAGGTTGCAGTGAATATGCTGGGGTACTAGCTACTTCATGCTGGTTCCAAAATTTCAGTTCATGGGGACTATTGCCCATCTGAACTTCACACCTTCTACATGATCTCCCTTTCTGGATATGACTGCGATTAAAGAAATGACAAAACCAAGTTTGCATCCTGGTGCAATATTGAACTAATCAGTATGTCAGTGCCACTTGGGTTTAGCTTTTAAGAGCTGTGAAGCAGAGCAGTGCACAGCAGATTCAGCAATATCTAACTAGATTCAAGTCTCACAGGGAAAAAGCTCATTGCTTAATCCCCATGGCTGTATGACCCCATCTGATAATAAGATGATGGTGGAGAGGAGGGAAAGGCAAACAACCAAATTCCTCTGTCTCTCTGCAGAGTGGTTTCCTCAAATCATCCCAGACTGCAGATTTCACATACACCAACATGTGCATTGCAAGTAGAAAGTATTTCAAAGGAAATTGCATTCCTTCAGTCAGCTTCTAGTTAAGTTTTTAACAGAGAAAACTTGTAAGTTAATACCTACAGCACAGTATATGACTTTGAGAAGCTTTATACATGCACTTCAGAATTACTAAGTGGCTTTTATGCCTCACTTTTTCACATGGCCTGAAATTCTCAGTATTTGAGGTAAAAAGCAAATGATCTTTGGATTATTATTTGATTTTTGAACAAATCATAATGATGATTAAAACAAGTCCTGAACAGTGGCTAACTAAATGGTGTTAGTTAGACTGGCTGACTAACACTGAGCAGAGGAAAATGTATGTGACTGCAAACCTCATTGAATTTCTCAGAGTTTGAAACCAAAGGGGTGAATGTGAGGGCAGAGAGAAATACCAGACTGGAGTTAATGCCACCAACTCATCATGAATCAGAGCTGATGGGAAATCTCAACATAGTATCATTTTGGAGCAAATTCAGATCTGATTTATCCTCGAAAGGTCAAACCCGATGAACAATTTAAAAAGCCTCTCTCTGGGTTCATCTGTACTACGTAGAAGAGCGTAAGCTCATATCCATGTGAACTTGGCATGACTTTGGCAGTCTGTCTCTAATCATCAGGGACATTGTTAGAAACCCTATTTCATTGCTATAGATGGGTTCAGCGAGGCTGTGCATTTCAAAAGGGTAGGCTGTATAAGGGCCATGTAGGCATATATTCAAATATATTTTCAACATGTAGATAGCTTCAGGTGGATGAATTATGCTGAAAACATTCATCTTGTTAGTCAATTTTGGAGGGCTAAATGAGATATAGTCCCTGAAAATTGACTGTGGGTATGATAAGGACAGGCCTTGATGCAGCCACACCAGGTACATCTTCAGTGAAGACTTTGTCTCCCAGACATCACTATACAGTAATTATTTTGCCAGTTCTGTTCTTCAGAAATTAGTCTTGAGGTTCAAAATATTGAATTTATGGATGTTTTTTTCATCTTATTTTTGGTTTTAGGACCAAGATTGCTCATTAGCTCCATCCTTCAATTTTGCTGTTATTTTTCAAATGAGAGCTGAGATTCTCATGTAATCAAGGAAATAAAGTTTTAAGGAAAACTTTGATGATCATAAACCAATATAATCATATATAATAAGGCACATATGAATGCCAGCTTAAATCTGCCTTGCTCTTCCATTAGAGAAATGATTACAGAGTAAAATTATCACTACCAGATGCAGAAATTGAGCCTAGTCCCCAATTCCCCAATCCTAATAAAACAGAATTAGTCCTGTTAAGTCTGAGTGAAGAATTAGATCTGTGATGTCAATATGGAGAACCACCAGGAAACAGTTCCATGACCAGAAGTAGGGGGCATGTGGTGCAATTAAAGGTGGCACCTTCAAAATGAACAAACAAGTAGTGAGTCTTAACATAATCTGTATTTAAGCACAGTGGTGTTGAAGATGCTAAAAGTTTCCTCCACTCAAGGAAGCACCAGAGAACACCATGGAAAAGACCCCTGGAAGTTATTACATGTGTGGAAACCATATCCAGCTCAAGAAATGCCTCAGTCACAAAAGGCTGAAGGTTGGGTGAGTGCATGGGGGAAGCACCACAAAAACTTGTCTCATTTTATATCCTGCTGTGTCATATGCTTTTTGGAGACTCTTGGAGAGAAGAAATTCATCCGGATGGGTCTTTGATCCAGTGTGATTGCTTTTCCGCTCTGAAACTGAAAGCTTGTATTTCTGTAACACTATCTATTGCAAGAGAGAGTGGCAAAAGGACTGGATCAGTGTATTATAACAAATTAAAAAGTCTGAGGCTCTTCGGCTGACAGGAGAGTGCTGAAGGAGATTTTAATACCATGAATGTTGTGGTTGTAACCTATTATTCACCAAATCCTGCAATTCTAGAAGTAGAAGGTGTTTTTTGAGAGAAGAAGGTTTCAAAACATATAAAACACTTTTCTTTCATGAAGGATGGTGCACTTTTCTACAGCATATTGCTCCAGGAGGTTGTAGAGGCTAGTAGCAACAGTTCGAACAGGCAGTAGACAAACTCACTCATTAACAAAGATTCAGCCAGAGTCTAAAGGGACTATCCAGGCATACTCTAATATCCTAATACAAAAGTTGTGTGTGACAGGAAGCACTGAAACATTTGGTGACTAAGTGGCAAAGAGCACGCTCCATGAATGGTATCTATTTCCTCTTGACACTGCTTGAGACAGAATACCAGCTGAGGGTTTGGGTCAGACCCAGCAGGCAGTTATGCCTCAGTAAACCAAGTAGGGACCTTGCTGGGTCTTATGAAATGTTGTCCTGAAAAACTTGCCTGAGAGGAAATGAGACCCTTGCAAATTTCCTGTAAACGGAGTGTACTAATGGTGTGGTCACTCTACACAACACAAAACCTGGAAGCTGGAGTAGAGCCTCAGAATACCTGCAGAATGACCAGAAGTGTTAATATCGATGGTGCTAGCAAACAGCTATAACGTTATCATCTCTTCATCAGGAACTGTAGAGATAGGACAAGAGGTACTGGGTTTAAACTAAAACATGGGAACCATTCTATGATTCTATGAAAAAAGGGAACATACTAATCTGTTTGCCATTGCTTGTTTTTCTCCATTCTAGGCATTCTACATCTCCTCAGAAATCATGGATCATGGAAAGATTTAAAGACATCTCTAATTTCCTTGATATTTCAGAAAAAAATTACAACGTGGACCAGACTTGCCAGATTTCAGCTTTAAATGCTGTTATTTCAGTTATATTGTTCTAAACCACTAAAATGAAAGGAATAGTAGAGGAAGCAGAATACTGTTATTAAGAGAGTTGTATAATACTTTTCCCTGTACAATGATAATAGCTTTCCTGAACCATCAAGTAGTCCCTTCATCTACCACTGGAATAATTCTGTTTCAGATGCATGTTAGCAGAACAGAACACTACTATGAAATTTAGACATTAGAATTAGTCATAAGAGCTTTCTGGGAGAGGTGGGAGGGAAACATTACAAAAGAGCTTTAGGGACAGCATTCGTTTCCTTAGAGAGGTTTGATTCCAGTTCAGAGGTTGAACCCTGAAATCATCCCTTTCTCTCCTCAGAGAACACTCATCTATAGGATAAAGAATCTCTCCAGGAGACCAGGCAATCATCTTCTGGTAGGGACTGAACAGTATTTTAAGCAGCTAATTACACCATTCTCATGTAGCATTGTGCTTCTCATGGTTATCAATCATTTATTTCCACTGATGCGTGAGAACCTGTGCTCAGCAGTGTTGAGATGTGGCTTTGCTGAGAAGTATATGGGAAAATTCATGGTTCCTCTGCCAGAATGATTTTGAATATGTTGTATACATTTTCATAGTCTTTATTTGTACATTAGATTTTCATGGCTTAAGAAAAAATTCCTGTTTTCACCACTTCTGTATTCTAAACCATAGAGATAAACTGTAGTAAAACTACTAGTGTTAATGAGCAGAAATATCTGTGATCTGTAATGCTGCTATATGTTATGAAAGTCAGTCTATTTAACTGCTTGAAGATGTAAGGCAGTGTGAATGGCATAACACTACAGTTTGGCTTCAGCCAAATAGGTTTCTTCAGTGAAGTCAAAGAAATCTAACTCACTAAGACAAACTTCTAAATGTTGTGCATATCCAATTCCATAACACCTTGTGTAAGCACAGCTTGTTTAATGAACTGTAAGAAAGACCTAGAGGTAAAGTCAAGCATACAGGAAACTGTTCTGCCATCTTAGAGGCCACGGGCTAAAATAAAGTTCCTTCCTGTGCACCTGGTTAGACTCATATTAGGTGAATTTGTTATGCTTCCTCTACAGTGTATTTATGGTGCATATATTCAGCACATTTTTCTATTAAGTGAAACCTGGTGATTTACAATGTTGCAGTTTAATCAAAGCTTTTATGGACTTCAAGGATAGCATTCATCTTGCAAAATGTACATCTATATGGTGGATATCATCTATACCTTTACTCAAAACTTTTAGGTATTAGTCACCAAATTGAAATAGATACTGGAATGTAGTGCAGACATCCAAAATAGATCAGGTGATCTAAAACATGTCTTTGTCTTTCAGTTATCTGTAAAGAAAGTCTGTGATGACAAAAAGGGTACAGACACCTGCTCAACTGATGTCACTTCATTTAGTGAGTTGAGGTGTGTGGACACTTATCCACATAACAGGTCTGTGAGCCAAGGATCCATGAACTGACTAATTCTGCTGACCAAGGTGTATCTGCAAGTCTGGGGAAAGCATGGTTGTTGTACTATCTGTCTGCAGGTATGCTATAAGGCAGTAGTATTCCGCTACTTTGCAGAACAGAGGCTATCCGTCCCCAATTTCCATGCTGTCTACAGATTATTTTATTGTTGAACAGTTTATAATCACCAAAAAAACTTGATTTTGCAGCATATTGCTCACTCTGATGTAGCTTCTCCTCTGCAATACTTGAGCCCCCATAGGAAAGCTCTAGCAAGGGCCTAATTCTGTGCAGTAATTGACCTTGATGAGGGGCAAGGAGAGATAAGAGCCATCTTACTTCAAAGGCTGTCGATCAGAGATTTAACACACTCATAGTAATTTCATGTTGCCTTTGACATCTTTAATTCACCCAGGACTTAAAGACAAGATATTTCTGTTTCATGCTTATTTGCTGATATCAGCGTCTAGGGAACATTAACCTTGATGGGTCTGAAGCATTGAACTCCTGAAGTTCTAGATGGTTTAAAACTCCAACATTATTTAGCTTTGTTGGCTTCCATATTCCCAGGGACAAACTCCAGCTGTTCACAATGTTACCTCTTTAATCAACTTTAACTTCTATACACAGCAGCTCTGCAATGGGTTTTGAAAAATATGCTAACGCTGGCATAATTTCAAGTTTATATTTGCTCAAAGATTAACTGCTTTTAATCAATTTCTGAGGGGAATAAAACACAAGAAGAGTTTCCTGCGGTAGCAAACATACATCTCTTTTTTCCATTGGGTCTTCCTCCTGTACATATTTCTGAGCTGACTGATAGAACATTAATGCCTTTTTTACCTGTATTTTCTCATGTTCTTTCTATGAATAACTGCAAAATTATGCATGAGGTTTTAGCAAAACTTGTCATAGATAGCTTGTGTGTGTAAAATCTAAGTTTAAAGAAGCGAGCTGCTTTTTTTTCATACCACACCTTTTTTGTTAGAGATCATAGAATTAGTACTGAAAGTTTAAAGCTGATTATGTTGTCTAGTCTTTTTTATGTTATTTAAGCCAGAACTACACGTAGAGCCATAAAAATCTTGCAGACTTCGAGGCAAATTTCCAAATTCCATATCTAAATTTAGGAAAGTAATTTCAGAGATCTACATGAGAAATAATTTGCTCTATGAAATTTCTTAACCACTCAAAAGTTCTAACAGGGGAAATAAGCGCTTGGTACTGTTCTACTGGTAGACCCCTAAAAAGGGATTATGGTGATTCACAGTAATCCTGTTAATAAAATACTAACTTCTTTTATCAGATGTCCCTGGTGATCTCAGTATATCAATACATACTAAATTATTTCTTCTTCACATCTTGCAAATATCAGATTAGTTTGTTGTTGTGTTTGTTTTTTTTCTCAGTAGCAGGGGAAATTACAAAACCCACAAGGTGGACAGACAGACTTTGCAGAGAAAGCCCAGATTTAGGTAGGAATCAACATCTAAGGCTGATGTACAAAGCATGTCATGAGCATGTCACTGAGATTTCAAGAATTAGAGATATCTGAGAGAAAGCAGTCAATATTCACTTACCATGCTCATCCAGTAGTATGTTGTCAGGTTTGATGTCCCTGTAAAATAAGGAAAGGAATGAATTACTTTTCATACCCAGAGAAAACCTGCGATTTCAAAGTTTTGCCCATCTGGGTATGAGGTCCAAGTCACTTAAATCATTACAAAACCAATGAACACCATATCACACATAAAGGCAAATGATTTTTATCTACATCTCTTTACTGCCCTGAGAAAACATGCATACTAAAGAGGCTTTCTAGGTTTCCATTTCATGTGGTTTTGTATTCAGATGGTTAGCATTGACATGGATTTGGTTTTCAAGATTATACGCTTTATTCTTTATAGCAGCAGGAACAACGAGATGGAAGATTTGCATCTAGGAGGTGCCTGATTGCCTCAGGGACTCCGCATTTGACAGACCCGAGAAATCATTTAATTGGAAACATCGGTGATCTACCCTTTCTGCCAGACCCCGCTAATTGGCCATGCTCACATGCATGATCACTCACATACTGTAGAGTCCTGCTAGCTATCTTATGCTAATTGGATAAGGCAAGCAGCTCTCCTTTTAGCCCCTGAATCCCCACTTGTCTGTGATGGCAGGTACGATGCTGAAGAAAGGAACAGGGATAAGTGAAGATGGAGATTACGATGTGCTGTAGCATTAGCTCAGTTTTGTTATTCTTGGCACAAGGGAACAACATCACCCTAGAGAACTGTACTTTCAGGATCATTTCCTTGACTTCCATTCATGCTGCTGTAAGGGGGGATGGAGATGGCTTTTCCCAGTCACTGTTGCGCATTCCCACCCTCTTTTTTGGTGCAGACCTGTTCTGGGGGAAACTCATCTCTCCCCTTTGACTGCCTGGATTGGTCACTGGTTTGGCTCGCCCTATGGCTTGGTGACTGCGATGCAGTGGTGTTAGGTGGCCCTGTCTTTTCACTGCCAACTTGCACTTCATACAGTTTTGAAGCCTTGCTTTTGGTGCAGCACTGCCAGAGTGGGAGACTCGTCAGTCCACCTAGAGCAGAATATTTGCTGTTTGGGCTGCATTTTCCATTTATCTCAAAGACAAGGGACCATAAACTGTCAAAATAAGCTGTTGAATGAATCTGCAAATGAACTCCAAACACTTCCACTGATGCAGTTTCTTTTAGCCAAAGTATAGTTTGATTATTCCAACTTAAACATTTCCTAGAAAATCCTTTCCTGACTGAAATACATGCTAACACATGCTTAGATTTTCTAAAAGGTTTTTTCCAGTGTGCCTGTAAATGAAATAAAGAAAACTGAAATGTTGCAAGAGAAAAAGCGTTACATCAGAATGACTTCTGAAGTAAATGTCATACAGGAATAGGATAGTGATAGCAATTATGATATGTATATTGCTTGCATGAAACAAGTTCACTTATCACTCCAACTCCACACATCTATTGACAAAAAAAGGCAGGTTACAGTTTAGTATTCTGAATTCCAAGCTCTCTAGTCCGTCCTGACAATCATATGAAATTGTGAAGTACACTAAGATTATGTTTACAATTTGTGTAGCAGCAGCTGGGGAAACGTGGGACAAATAAGAAATTACTTTGAATCATTCCCTGCACAGTTGGAAATAACGTGGATGTGTCTGTGTAAGGAAAAGGATCTCGCTATGAATTACCATCTGGAATAGACATTTAAATTTATACTGATATATCAGTGTGAAATACTGCATTTTTTCTGCACAACTTACAAGCTATCTATAATTGTCTGATTCAGCAGCAGTTCTAGTTATATGTGTAATAAAAGGAGAAATCTCTCCTACAGCCCACATCACCCACAAACCTCCAAACTCTGACTTATCATATCATTTACCATATCAAAACATTTGCTTGTCCTCATATCATGTGAGTGAATTTGTGAGTTACAGGTGAACTGTAGGATTAAGTATCTTCGCTTATATTATAAAACTTCTCTTTGATTGAATTATCATAGGAAATTCTATATGGTTTTATATATAATGTTACATCTAATCTCTCAGTTGATGAGACAGTTTTGGAAGAGCTACTGTTCAACTGGTATCAGCAAACAGTCTCTGGGTTTTGATAACCATTTTCTGATAAGAATTGGAATTGTGCTTTCATGCTGAATAATCTTTGTGGTTGATCCACATCTTGAAAATACAGCAATGCCTTTCAATGGAAAAAAACATGCCACAGTTTAGTCTATTGAATTATATATTGTAAAACTTCATAAAAACATCTTAAACTTTGTCTTCACAAAGTTTAATGAGCACAGTCTGACTCTGCACCTCTTGTGGGTGAAAAGGGATCACACCCAAGTACATTAGGGCCTTTGTGGCTTCCTAAAATCAGTGATACATTGAACATCACTTCAAATTGTTTTACCCAGTTTAAGAAAATAAGAATTGGAATGGTACAACTGTTAGTGCTTCACTGAGAATAATACTGATGAAAAGGAGAAATTCAGCCCTGTGAGCTACTGCCATGTATATAACAATGCAGTGCCCAGGGATTGCTCATTACAAGACTGTGCCTTTTCTTCAAGAAGATGAGTTTAAATAATTTGAATATCTGCTACGGTATTGCAACATTAAATAGACTACACATTTTTATTGTCACCAGAAAAGACAGCTGTGTGTATCATCAAATATAGTCTTCATAAAGTTGTATCTGTAATGTTCAGAAAGTTGAGTAGTAAAATTAGATCTGTGCTTATCTTTCTGTTACTAATTCAGGCAGTGGCTGACTCAGATTCACACGGACCATAAGGCTTTTCCTGCCTAAGAAATATTCCCCACCGTGGCTCTGTCAACTTCTCTTATTTTGCTCAGAGGCAGGACTGTAGCAGGGGGCAGGTACAACAGTCTATCACCTTGCACAGAGCAGCTCTACCCCTCAGTTCCTGTGGCAACTTTATAGACTCATAACTGTGTCTCAGATCTCAAAATAGGCTATTTTAAATGGCTTTTACAGCAAGTAAAAATCATGAGCTACCTTAAGCCAGAAGGTGAACAAGTTTCTTAAGTAAGATACTGCTGTTTAGGGATCACATGCCTGGAGATGTGTGTGATGCATAGATGCACATGGCAGGTGAGAAAGCAAAGTGCGGGGTCACTGTGAGGATCATGCTTTCCAGCAACACTCTGTTATGTGGTTGTCCCCACTTTACAGCATGCCACTAAAAGCTCTCCTCTCCAGAGGCAGCTTGTTGAAAGACTCCAGAGGAACAAGGCCACTGCTCTGCCCTTGCACTGACCACTAGTTGCTAGGTGCAGGGCAGGGAGGGTTCATCACAGCCAAGGGGAAGACTTTCCAGGTCTAGGGGCATTGCAATTGAAGTTACTGAATATATTCAAAATAGAGGGCTTCCAGCATCTGTTATACAAAAACCAGATAGTTCCTTTAAATAAATACTGTAGTTAAACTCATTTAAATGGTAAAAATACTGTCTATGTGGGAAGGTGGATTCAAAATACAAAACCTCTTTAAATTAGGCAGTTCAAATTCAAACATGTTAAGTAAGTAGAATTCTGTTTTGACTGCATATCAATTCTTCAGAAAACATTTTTCCTCTTAGCAAGCATGTTCAAACAACAGGGTGTGAAATTCAGTACCTTAACTGCAGGGTTTTCCCATTATGCATATCCCTAGCCATGAGAGCGAATTGCAACACCCATTGCATCTTAAATCAGTATCATAAGAGAAAGTATCATCTTAAATCAGCTCATAAGGGAAACTGAAGAACTTTTGAAAGGAGCAAACTCACTCATAGATTGGATTCAGAAGATCCCTGAGCTGCTCTCTAACCATTCATCAAGCAATGACCAGCAGAGCCATGGCAGTGTCCTTAACATTGATTTCATAAACACTTCCACAGTCTGAACTGGTGCTACTCCAACTCTTCATACACAGAAAAATCAGAGCAACATAAAAATGGGAGTAGAAAAACCTTCAAAGTCTTTGTTCAGTGACAGGACCAGGCAAAACTAATAGAACAGCTGGGCCAAGAAACTCAGAGGTGCAGACAAATGAGAAAACCTGGAAAAATCACAGTTTAATTGTCACTTGTTGATAATGCCTGTGAAACCATTTCTAGAGTTCTTCAATTGCCTTGGTTACGTCAAACAAGAGCTGCACAAAGGATGAAAGTACAGTAAGAAGGTGTTGCATATGATTTCCAAGTAGGAAAGAACTGTTAATATTCTAATTGTATCTTTTATAATATCTAGGCTGAGTAAGCATTCAATATTTGAAGATATTCGCTCTGCATGAAAGCAGACCATGAGTGTGGCTGGACTTAAGTTTACTGCATACGCCAGAGGCCTCCGAACTGAATGATTATAAATGACTTAGGTTCAAGTATCTGTAGTTTTTTTCCATCAATGTTTCTTTCAGGTGTTACTAAATGGGTTAGAAGCAGATTTCTAAATTAAGAAGCAGAGTTGTGCAGTCTTCAGCCTCGGAGGTTTTCAAGACCTGAATGGATAAACCCCAAGCGAACTGGTCTGATCTGAAAGCTGACCCTGTTACGGGCAGGACATTAGACTAGAGGCCTCTGGAGGTGTTTTCCAGCCTGATTTAGTCTGTGAGTCTATGAAAAATAATGTATGGAAGTTCAAAGTCCATCATTCTTATTCCCCCTCCTTTTGGCTACAAGGAAGTTCATAAAAGACTAAAGAGACCTGGGAGAGGACCACATATTTGGAATTTAGTGCCTTTGGTATAGTCCACTGCATTTGAAAGCTAGTCAAACCTTCCACGTGTTAAATTCTGTCATAGGACGTGAATGCTCAGTAGGAATAAATAGCCTGTCTTCAGCATGAAAGGCTCAAACAGAAATACTCGGCTGTTCAGCACTGGAGAGGTCTAACACAGTATTTATTAGGTATGGAAGTGGTAAAAGGATGAAGATTATTTCACCTGAAAAGGACTTTGAAATCTCAGTAAGAGTGAGCAAAAGAAGGTGATTATATTGCCAGTGTCAGATAAAATTGAGAATAGACACAAATTATATGTATACATCAGAAAAGGAGAATATGAATTACCCATCAGGATTTGTGACCATAAACAGCCTTCTAGAGGTCACCA